TTAGTCTTCCCTGTATTGTTTTATGTAGCAAAAATATTTGTACGCATGACCTTGTTCCCTTCCCATTGTCACCAGTTTCATCTCATTCATTTTTCATTCCCGCACCACCCTGCTGTACCCAGCCTTCTGTACCTACCCTCCTGTACTTACCTTCCTGTACCCACCATACTGCAGGCACCCTGCTGTACCCAGCCTTCTGTACCTAACCTCCTGTACTTACCTTCCTGTACCCACCATACTGTAGGCACCCTGCTGTACCCAGCCTTCTGTACCCACCCATCTTCCTGTACCAACCATACTGCAGGCCTCCTGCTGTACCCAGCCTCCAGCACTTGCCTTCATGTACCCACCCTCCTGCAAGGACCCGCTGTACCCACCCCCCTGCACTCACCACACTTTTTCGACATCACTCTCCCTCACATATAAAAACTAAACTCTGGATAGTGCAACGCTGAAATTTTGCAGATCAGAAATTTAATCTTCGTCCCTGAATCAGAAAAATAGTTCAACGTTTTCCCAGATACTAGACTTAGTTAATTCAGCCAACGTGTCTTCCCACTCAACCAGACTTTCAACCACCACCTGTTTATACCTCTCACGAATTATCTTCAATTATCTTTCAGCTACGTCATCTGATACCAAGGAGGTCTTAATATTTCAAGAAACGCAAAATTCAACAACCATGTCTATACTATATCTTTCGGAAAAAATACTTAGACCTAGGTAAAATACGAGAGGCCTTAAAAAGTGCACACCCAGGTCTTCGGAGCAAAAAAATGAAGAAATGCGTTGGAAAAAGTTACATCAGCAGGACTAACACCATATTATAAAAGTATTTGAATGGTGATGAGACGCCAGATGGCACACTTTCTTGAAAAGTGTGGCTGCACAACCCAAACAAGCACGATTCAAGAGTGGGAAAACCAAGTTTGTTACAATTGTATACATGGAGGGGGCTTTGGGGGTCAACACCCCTGCAGCCCGGTCCGTGACCAAGCCTCATGTACTAAACTATCACGACAAAATTAAGGAGGAGTTGGAAGGATACCTGAATACACATGTATCTACAGGGATTTTTAGTAGGCATTTGACAAATGTGATCATGGAATGATAACATTTAAAATGAGGTCACGAGGTATAACGGAGGAAAGTAGGCAAAGGAATATGCAACTTTAAGACGAAAAGAACACAGACCTGTAATAAACAAAGCATAATCAAGCCTTATTAAAGTAAAAAGCTGAATATCCCATGGCACAGCCCAAGCTCCTGTAATGTTTCTCATTCTCATTCTCATCATCATTTGCAAACGATACGAAAATAAGCATGAAAGTCACCTCTATAGAACACATGGAAAAATGAAAAAGAATACAAGAATTTTTTCCAGTGGACATTAAAATAAACAATGATATTGATTGGTGAGATATTCCAACTGCTCAGATATGAAATTAATGAGGAACTAAAAATAGAAAATGTGTACAAAACACAGGACGACCAATTAATAGAATGAAAGAAACATGTAAAAAAAAAAACCCGAGTGTAATAATGTTAGGTGACCTGTCTTTTAGAAAACACAATAAGGAAAATGTCACGATAGCCAGGAAAATGATGAAATGGATAATGAGAACTTTCAAAACGTGGAAAATAATGCCAGTGGTAACATTATTCAAATCACTGTTCATCACTGTTCATTGTTGACTGCTCCGTTCAAGGTAGAAGAGATATCGGAGCTGGAACAAATACAGAAATAATTTATTGCCCGTAAAGAGACCATCTCAAAGTATTGAATGTGAACTCTCTGAAGCAGAGGAGAAAAATATATAGTAATATATACGTTAATGATGCTTCAGATCATAATTCCAAACCTACACACTACTACTGCAACGTTCTGGAGCGAGAGATGTGAAAGTGTAAAATAAACCCAGTGAAAAGGAGGAACGCCACGGACACAATAAGAGAACACTGTATCAACATCCCTGGGGAGAAACTATCAGTGTTACCAGCAAATATCAGAAATATATATTACTGAAACAAGTATGCAAATCTTCAAGAGGAAACCCGATCAATATCGCTTGCAAGTATTAGATCAAGCAGGCTGTAGTGGATGGTACATAATACCAACAAGTTGAGGAGTAAGACACAGGTTCAACACTAGGAAATTTTATTGACGAAACGTTTCATTAATAAAGATTCCTAGTGTTGCATAAGTGCCTTATTCTTCACCAACAGCCTGGTTGGCCAGACAAACAACAAAAAGCCTGACCACAGGCCGGACCACGGAAGAAGGTAGATTCATTAAAGTTGTCACAGGTATATCACACGTACCATTCTGAGCACATATCATCTTCCTCTTACTCTAGTAACCACTGATCATTGTCAGACATGCAAGTTACTTCTCTAACAACGTTTACAAGGTGTTTCAAAAAGATGAACTCACTTTAAATGGACCCGCGATTATCAGTAGCACATTAATACATAAATTTACCGACATTCAAACATAGTTTTTATCCTAAGAACAAAAGATCTCATATTTGTACCTACTGCATCTTGTATAAGCATCTCTCACTTGCGTCTTCAAGTTCCTCAAAATATAATTTTCTCCAGGTTGGTTCAAATTTTCATAAACTTTCACCTAACACGTCCCAGAACCTCTTTTAATTCACCTCTTTCATCTCCTGGTTTATCAACACTTACTGCATAACTCATTACATCACGAGCTTTTCAAGGAAATTTGTTATTAATTTGTATTCATATCTGTTAAGGTACTACATATTTAATGTACTTGTATCTTTTTTTTTTTTTCCCCTAAATAATTATTTCTCCATCTCGTGAGAGTCCGTCAAGAAATGACGTCATGGATATTAACAAGAACGCAAACAGCCGCGCTGGCGGTCGATCACATCGTCCACGGACGTTCTTTTTTCTGTTTTCTTGTGTAGCCTTCCTGGAATTGCGTCGTCACTATGACAACCAATATTGGCGTCGTGATGCATGGCAGAGGAATACGCGCCTATATATATATATATATATATATATATATATATATATATATATATATATATATATATATATATATATATATATATATATATATATATATATATAAATGGGGTGACAGGAAAGACTTTTTCTTGTAAAATACATTTATTTCATAAAATCAACGTTTCGGTGAAACAATCACCATCATCAGGATCCGTAATAAAATCACATTTTTGCAGAAAGTGACAAGGAACAATAGTGTTAGCATTATAAAAAGTAAGATCGGTTAAAACATAAAGGGTAAAAACGTACCACAAGAGTGTGTTGTTCTAGTTATTATTATTATAATCATGGGGGAAGCGCTAAACCCGGAGGATTATACAGCGCCTGGGGGGGGGATGTGGAAGGCATTCAGGCTTAATTCGGGGAACTGGAGCACAGATCCAATTCCCTAAATCAAGAGCCCCTCACCAACATCAAGGAACTTTTCTTGAGGGGTGTGTAGTTCTAGTAATGTGCCATGAATGATCATAATAATTATGAGATGATCCAAGTCTGCAGTGTCCAAGAGGGAACTCGACAGATTCCTCAAGACAGTTTCTGATCAACCTGGCTGTTAACCATGCAGTGGACTGCGGGCGCAGAACACTAGCAACTAGGAGGGATGGTCTGGGACCGGACCGCGGGGACGATGACCTCCGGAAGCGACTCCAGGTAACCTCCGGGTAGCACATGATTGGTATATAGTGCCAACATGATAAAGAATTAAACACATGTGCAACATCTGGGTATCTTTATTTGTAAGGGTTTCGCCATCCAGTGGCTTTATCAATACAAATTCAAGGACATAATGGGAAGAAAAACAAAGATGAGATCATATCAAAGATGGTAGTCAATGCATCGTTGGTGAGACAATTATTACCTCGTTTCATTATGTATGGTATGGAAATTACAAACTGGATGGCGAATCTCACACACAATCGGGATGTACGGTTAGCTAACAACACAGCAGGGATTAGGGTAGATGGTGGAACACAAACGCCATCAGGATGCTCGGGTAGCGGTGGAACCAACACCAGCAGGGATGCTACGGTAGCAGGTGGAAAAACACGGAGGGCTGTAGATGCAGTGGAAACAAGCCAACAGGATGCTCCGGTAGCAGGTGGAACACAACCGCAGGGATGCTAGGGTGAACTGGTGGAAACCCAACAGGGATGTTCGGTAATGGCTGGAACACAACCCAGCAGGATGCTCGTAGCAGGTGGAACACACACCAGCAGGGATGCTGGTAGGTGGACACAACGCCACGGGATGCTCGGGTAGCAGGTGGAAACAAACCAGAGGGACTTGTAATGTGGTCACCCCACCCCAGCATCAATTAGCAGGTGGAACACAAGAACCCGTACTTGACCGCCACAGATGGGATGGCATAAAACAAAACACACTAGATCTGAGATGTTCAAGTGGAACACAACACAAGGGATGCTCGGTTACATGTGGAAACAACACTGCAGGATGCTAGGTAGCAGGTGAACAACCATAAGATGTTAGTGCGGCAGGTGTAAGATATTCAGGTAACACAAATACAGTTTAGGTGAAAACCGGTGTAATGCTAGGGTAGCACATGTGGATAAGTTTCAAGCCTCGCATAGTTCACGGACAACAACACCTCACAAAAAACTATCCAGTTATAGGAATGGAGGCGAGGGGCCATTCATTTATCCCGGCAGTACGCGGGTTGTAATAAGGAAGACCTTAATCATAGATCCCATAAGGTTTATTTTACCTTAAAACATTTTCGCTTATTATTGCTCGGGATGTTAATGCACTTGCGCGCCCAGACGCAAAATTATTCACTTAAGCTAAATTTGGGAAAGGACAGGTGGCTATAATAACTGGAGATTTTGGATTGGGTATTTTAAATTTGATTGATTTTTAGAAATTTCGTAGAGTTATTTGGTTTCGGGTTTGGCAAAGTTAGGAAAGTGTTTGTTGCCGTACGACGTGTGTTGGGTTGGGGGTGGGAGGCGGTGGCAGCGCCATGTGAGTGAGGTTCCTGGCTGTGTGTTTGGCGGGTGTTGGGGTTTTAAACCCCTTTTCTTCTGTGATACCTGACTAGCTGAAGCATCCATCCTGCTGCCAATACCTCATATACTCACTGATGTTCCTTGTAACATCTCTTACACCTGACTTGCGTACTTCAGGTGAGTGGAATCGATACCTGAGCCGTCTCCAGCATGGACAAGTATTTCCTTTGTATTATTATTTTTACTGCACATTAATGGTTAACAGATGAAACAGTTTTAGTAATATTGGCGACATTTACTAAAGAAATATATGAACAATAAATGGGATAATAGTTTAAAAACTTAAAGATTGTGAGTGGAGAGAACTGGTTAGACAGCTTCAAGTGTCTCAAGATGGCCTTGACATCCTCGTCCAGCAGCTGTTTACACCGTCAAATTTGTCTGCGGAAGCTCTGAGCTGTAAGTTTAGTCAGGTATACATAAATACAGTTACATAAATTATTATATATAGCAGCATATGCGTAAAGAACCTAGGATAACCCAAAAAAGTCAGTGATTATTCCAGGTATTTTACTACTGACGAGTTGGTGTTACGAGTCACTGATGAGTTTTGTCGTCAGTCACTGACGAGGTGTCATCAATCACTGACGAGGTGTCGTCAGTCACTGACGAGGTGTCGTCAGTCACTGACGAGAAGGTGTCGTCAGTCAACTGACGAGGGTCGTCAGTCACTGACGAGGTGTCGCCAGTCACTGACGAGGTGTCGTCAGTCACTGACGAGGTGTCGTTAGTCACTGACGAGGTGTCGTTAGTCACTGACGAGGTATCGTTAGTCACTGACGAGGTGTCGTTAGTCACTGACGAGGTGTCGTCAGTCACTGACGAGGTGTCGCCAGTCACTGACGAGGTGTCGCCAGTCACTGACGAGGTGTCGTCAGTCACTGACTAGAAGGTGTCGTCAGTCACTGACGAGGTGTCGTCAGTCACTGACTAGAAGGTGTCGTCAGTCACTGACGAGGTGACGTCAGTCACTGACAAGAAGGTGTCGTCAGTCACTGATGAGGTGTCAGTCACTGACGAGGTGTCGCCAGTCACTGACGAGGTGTCGTCAGTCATTGACGAGGTGTCGTCAGTCACTGACTAAAAGGTGTCGTCAGTCACTGACGAGGGTTCAGTCACTGACGAGGAGGTCAGTCACTGACGGGGGTGTCGTCAGTCCACTGACGAGGGGTTCAGTACTGCGAGGTGTCGTAAAGTCACTGAGGGAAAAGGTTTGTCGTCAGTCACTGACGAGAAGGTGTCGTCAGTCATGGACGGAAGGTTGTCGTCAGTCACTGACGAGGTGTCGTCAAGTCACTGACGAGAAGGTGTCGTCGTCACTGACGAAAAGGTGTCGTCAGTGATTGACGGAAGGTGTCTTTCAGTGACTGACGAGGTGTCGTCAGTGACTGACGGAAGGTGTCGTCAGCACTGACGGGAAGGTGTCGTCAGTCACTGACGAGGGGGGACGTCGTACTGACAAGAAGGTTTCGTCAGTCCTGACGAGGTGTCGTCAGTCACTGGCGAGAAGGGGGTCGTCAAGTCATTGACGAGAAGGTGTGTCAGTCACTAAAGAGGTGTCGTCAGTCACTGACGAGGTGTCGTCAGTCACTGACGGGGTGTCGTCAGTCACTGACGGGGTGTCGTCAGTCACTGACGGGGTGTCGTCAGTCACTGACGAGGTGTCGTCAGTCGCTGACGAGGGTGTCACTGACGAGGGTGTCGTCAGTCACTGCGAGGGTGTCACCTGACGAGGTGTCGTCAGTCACTGCGAGGTGTCGTCAGTCACTGACGAGGTGTTTTCATCACTGACGAGGCGTCGTCAGTCACTGACGAGGCGTCGTCAGTCACTGACGAGGTGTCAGTCACTGACGAGGTGTCGTCAGTCACTGACGAGGTGTCGTCAGTCACTGACGAGGTGTCGTCAGTCACTGACGAGAAGGTGTCGTCAGTCACCGACGAGAAGGTGTCGTCAGTCACTGACGAGGTGTCGTCAGTCACTGACGAGAAGGTGTCGTCAGTCGCTGACGAGGTGTCGTCAGTCACTGACGAGGTGTCGTCAGGCACTGATTAGATGTAGGTTTGTGAACAGCAGCTGTCCAAGGATGTAGCCTATTAAACGTTTTGCCCTCTGACGTGATTGCCTTGTCTCCTGATGATCAAACCAAATGCAAGATATGTGGCCAACTCTATGGTCACTATCTCGAACACTATGCACTTTATTGTCGAACTATTGAGGAATATAGAGACATTGTATAATAACCTATGTGATATGTCAAAATGTCTTATCAATGAAAATAGGATGCCAGATATATTAAGCAAATTTCCTAAATTTACTTTCATCTTAAGATAAGTCAACTGCAGATATAAATTCAGATATGTTTCTGTAAACCCTTTTGGAGCCTAGTTTCTAGGCCTTTAGTGTATCCATATACGTTTGCGCTACCGTCCACAGGATGGATGTGAGATGCACAATAAACTAGCCGTTTCCATGGCAAAATCAAATCAAGATCACATTGTTTCACGAGCAAATGACTAGTAAATCTTGCTAGCTTTTACACGTGCTTTTAATGTTTCATATTCGTTCAGTATCCCACACAGGGAGGTTCTTTGATGCCTGAGAGGGCACTTGATGCTAACCTCCCTTTCCTTGGATCGAACTTGATTGCCTCCCATTCCTCGGACGCTGTATGATCTATGCGAGTGACATGACTTAATACAGATCTACCTAAGTTAAAGTCTAAATCAAGGTCTGATTTGCATGCACCATCTACCAAACAGAAAATAGGCTTACCTATTTGTGATTACCTGTTTCTAGGTACTGAGAGGAACTAAGGCTTTGGTATCCCGTCTGCAGTATCTAGTCTGTTGTAACTTTTTTTAAAGCTTCCACTGGTTGAAGCATTTAACACCATGTAATCTGTTCAAGTGACAGATGCGTCAATACTTATTCGTAGTTACAGGAGCAGAACTATGCTCATGGTTTTGTGTCTTCGGAGATTAGTTAATAAATTACGTTAATAAATTGCTTAACAAGTTTGTGAAGTAATTTATTAACGTTTCCAGTGGATGCAATGTAAATTACAAATAGCGGAGGTTACTGGCTAGTAGTCCAAGATTTCAACTGTCTCGGTATTTGGTGAGCATACCCGTGGCATTGTCAGGCCCAGCAGCAGTTGCCATAGTATACCCGCGGCATCGTTAGGACCAGCAGCAGTTCCCATAGTATACCAGCGGCATCGTCACGACCAGTAGTAGTTGCCATGTCATAACCGCGGCATCATCAGGACCAGCAGCAGGAGGGAGACTGCAGCAGTCGTGTCTGGGTACCCTTGACAGCTTCACCACTGTCAACGGGGTATAACTGCGTAACTAGTGTCGACGTCTAGACAACAACAATTTAAAAGCGCAAATGAAGTTGGCAGAATCAACTTTTCAGCAGATCCTAACCTTCAAGATTGTCCTTGTTCCAAGTAATTGGAGCTATCGTTACCTGGAGGTTATTCCGGGGATCAACGCCCCCGCGGCCCGGTCCATGACCAGGCCTCCCGATGGATCAGGGCCTGATCAACTAGGCTGTTACTGCTGGCCGCACGCAGTCCAACGTACGAGCCACAGCCCGGCTGATCCGGCACTGACTTTAGGTATCTGTCCAGCTCTCTCTTGAAGGCAGCCAGGGGTTTATTGGTACATAAGTGTGTATACGGCGCGCACAAGACAAACTAACTTTCCTGTAGTCATCTTTACTACAGGAGGGCCCTGCTTTACAGAGCTTCGATTTACATTTGGTAAAACAGCGGTTTTCACTTATACTCATTTTTCATTTATTCATACTTCCTACGATAAATATATTCACCACTTACTATAAGCTAAGGACAAAAATATTTTAAGGCAAGTAATGTGTGTACTGTATATGCATTTTTTAGGCCTAGCTTTATTACTTAATGTATGATAGTGTAAACGTTATCAGGCTTTTATATTCATTTGAAAGTGAAAAAAAGTTATGATTCACATCACAGGTGGCCCGGTGGTCTGGTGGCTAAAGCTCCCGCTTCACACACGGAGGGCCCCGGGTTCGATTCCCGGCGGGTGGAAACATTTCGACACGTTTCCTTACACCTGTTGTCCTGTTCACCTAGCAGCAAATAGGTACCTGGGTGTTAGTCGACTGGTGTGGGTCGCATCCTGGGGGACAAGATTAAGGACCCCAATGGAAATAAGTTAGACAGTCCTCGATGACGCACTGACTTTCTTGGGTTATCCTGGGTGGCTATCCCTCCGGGGTTAAAATCCGAACGAAATCTTATTATATCCTTAAATTTATCTTAAGTATTTAGCTTTAGAGTGGTAGCCCCGAAAACCAAACTGCCTCTATAAGCGGGGTGAATGTGTTTGTAAACACGGTAAAAAACCAGAGCCTTATAGTGACATTCTCCTTCAAAACATTACACAAGAGAACAGTGGATGGTGTAAAGCCTTACGGTGGGTCTAAGACACTGCTCCGATAGCCCAAAATGTCGCTCCACTGAAAAAAAGATATTTAGGGTTTGGAATTTTTGAAAGAAATCAGGTAGTCATTCCAAGTTATCATGGAACTAATTCCCAATTTTTTTCAATTAAAAAATTAAATTTAGGTCATACACAGCCCAACACTAATTCAGGCCCTTTTTAAACGAAATGAAGAAGCATTGTTTATCCGGATACCCAGCAGTCTTATAAACACCAGTACATTAATTTGAATCCGCTTGGAAGTTGCATTTTAAAAACATTGATGGTAGAAACCATTTGGATGAGGATTCAGAATTTGTCATATGAAAACCGGTATACACACAAATAACCCGCACATAAAAGAGAGAAGCTTACGACGACGTTTCGGTCCGACTTGGACCATTTACAAAGTCACACCGTGTGACTTTGTAAATGGTCCAAATCGGACCGAAACGTCGTCGTAAGCTTCTCTCTTTTATGTGCGGGTTATTTGTGTGTCGTTCCAGTCACGGTATTGTGCCTTTTTTTGTTATTTAAAACCGGTATCTCAGTTCTCCCAGTTTCTTCATTAAAAGAGGAAAATTGGGATCTACACATGAGAAAACCAGTCCAAACTTTCCACACATTTTTTTACAATGGTTGTGAAGGTA